ATATGTTCAGTCGCCCGAAGCCCCAATAAAACTTCATCCACAACACTCCAGATCCTAAATGCGTTCCCCATCCAGTTTCGGAGGCTCCAACGCATTTTGTCTTTGTTATTATTTAGCAAGATCATGCGGGGTCAACCAGGAATTGAAACGTAAAGCTACAGTCTACCCCCAGAGTTTCAAGCAGATCCCTGCGGCGAAAGCTTTTATTTACAAGCGTCTCCCCTGTGCGATGCTTACAGCACAGTAGACCTTAAGTAAGAACTGTACCCTCGCTACTTCCCAGACAATGCGACCCATAGACACCCCAAACCCTATGATCGTCACAAGGGCGGTCACCATCAGACTATACCCACCATACATTGCTGCGAAAGACTTGCTAGTGAGTTTGGCAACTCTCCAGCAAATACTTTGATTTCTATAACTTGGCCGAATCTGGCATAGGTCTCGTTTGACTTCCAACGACTCCTGACTCCAAGTTGTCCAAGCGTCAAGCCCTCAACCGTAGACAACAACCCATTTTGGATGCACACTTGACGTGAAGTCGCCACAACCAATGCCTAGCTGCGCCAGACCCCGCTGCCTGCCTGGCCAAATCTCATAGGCGGCCTGAGAAATCTCATCCCCTTTGAAACCGAGCGCCTGCCAAAGCTAGGTTTTTCAGGTCTTGGGATTGGGGCAACGATTTGCCGGCGACGCTTGAAGATGTAGGAAAGAACCTGTGTAACTGGCTGCTGTATTGCCACAGTGTGCGGGTGTCTGTGCTACCAGTAGACCGAAGACTACACGACGAAACATTCTGTGGTGGCACAGTAGGAGCGAACTTGGACCTTAGCTAGTTCACCAGCAGCCATCCCTTTCTTGCGAGATCATTTCTTGAGAGCACTTCTGGGGCCGAATCTAGGTGGTACTGTCTGCCTTCGTGGCACTGAAGAGTGTTCTAATATAGCCTAGTCCAGCAAGGAATCAGGAAGGAGTCAAGCCTCGGAATCTGAAACCCAGAGCCCCCATTCCCGGCCCAAGGCTCATGAACCTCAGCCTTTAAATGCATCCCACCCAAGAAAAATGAACAAACATGAAAGACAGAACACACACAGACGGACACATTGGTTTTGCATCCTCGGTAGGGTACCCCGGCATGACTCGAGTTGTAACATAGGTTCTCCACAAAAAAAAATAAAGCGAAAGTATTTTTTTGCATGTGCATCAGAAAATTTTACCACCGGTATTCTAAAGGTTACTGCGGGAGGGAACTACGGTTTAGGGCAAGCCCCGTGTGATTCCCATGGAACCCTCGCACCCCTGTACTTGATAATGTTGAACTGCAAACCATGTGAGGAATATCTGAAGCTATGTGAGGAACATCTCAAGCTGGTACCGTGTGTAAACCCTCCATATCTCCTTGCCTCCCAAAATTCTTGTGACAGGTGTGCATGCGAGGCCCGTGCAATGGCTGGTGGCAACATCGCGTCTGAACAGGACTTCGAACGCAAGCGCGTCATGCGATATGATACAATCAAGCACAAGACTTGCACGGGGTAGCATGAGAAGTACACCAAATTGGTAATGGACTTGGAACTGCTACACAGGAACTTCAGTATTAGTACCCGTATGCATATCTCCTAGATGACTCTCCCTCGGCCGAAGCCCGAATCCCTACACCCTAGACTCTTCAACACAAAGCCCACAAGGTCAGGGATTGTCACCATGCCTCAGCCATCTCAAAGCCACGGTACCTTTAGACGGGGATAGGTGTTGGGGGCTTAAGGTCGAAGGCTACGGATTTACGTTTGCGGGGTGTAGTGATACTTTGGGATGATAAGGAGATTCTAGGGGTCCTCTGCGGGATTGTAAAGCACCTGGATCAACGGTTTACACTACAGGGTACTACATGGATCCTCGATCTTGGGCCTCGTACGCCTGTTGTGCCCCTAATGGGCCACGAAGTCTCATGAGAGAGAACTCGGCTAATAGCAGGGGCTCGCAGCTTGGCTTCTGAGGCTTCATTCTGTACCTAGGGGTTTTGACTTTAGCGAGTATAACTCCCATGAGAAGCGGTACTTACTCATGCTCCTTCAGTGGCCCTGCCCTTAGGCCCTGTGTGTGGTTTGCAACATTTGGGGTTCTCTTTCATAATCCTTGCATATGAGGTGGTTGGAGCACCTAAGATTGGTCCGGGGTTTTCCTCCGAATGAGGTGTAGAGACCCCATCTTTTCTGACGCCTTATGCCATCAGGCAGATAAGACGACTCTGAAGAGTCCTGCCCCCAGCAACGCATAGTTAACTTGTGGGTACAGCTTCAAGGTAATCATTGCCTATGCACCTACTGACCCTGCTGAAGAAGTGGAGGGGGGGTTGCTTTCGGATGCAAGGTTCTGGCTGCACATCTCATCCAACAACGAGATGCTTCTTTGGGGCCCTTTAACCACAACCATCATGGACAAACCGTGATGGTTGACATAAGTAGTTTTACAAAGAGTTTGTATTGAGGGCTTCTGTGAATGGCATGATGCATGGCTAGAAACAGCACAACCCATATGAAATGACGACAAGAACTCCTGCAAAGCTTGGACCACGTCCATGACCTTCTACTTAGCTCATACTTTCCACGAACTTAAATTCCTTCCTACATGCTTGCAAAACAATTCCTTCATGTTGCAGGGCAATGAATGCGAGGAACAATCCTAGCTTTAGGCTTTGTAAACTCTATCAACGTATGGACCAGAGCCCACGTCGAATTGATCAGCTTCATCAACGGACATGCACCCTCTCCATGCCAGGATGCTGAGCTTCGAAGGCAAAGACTGCAGCGTTGCAGACAATCAGGAAGCTCATGGTGCAATCGACTGCTGGATGCCTTGCGAAAAATGGCGGTTAAGATGTAGGATTCTGGACGGGTCCGAGATCCAGGGGTTCAGTAGGATTTGGGGCGTATTTTAGCTTCGGGGGTCATGCAAGACTAAGAGACCCCTCTCCATAATTCACCGCGCATGCATGCATCAATCACGGTACTACTTATCTGATGAGTCAGAGGTTGAAACGCCAGAGAGTAGGATCATTTGATGTGCAAAGTGACGTACCACCTACCTCATCTCAAGTCTTCCTATCCAAGCCTCAAGCTGCAGGTCAGGTACTATCGGGGCCTCGCAGAAGGCTGAGCTTAGCCAAACCATACAACATGCAAAGCGCAATAAATCTTGCTACTGCACCATCCCCCGTGCCTTTCACGCCCACTTTCGAAAAAGTTTCCCATCCCCTTTGGGGTGTCTCCAGAATTGAGATTATACCGTTCGAAGCGTGTCAGTTTGAAGTACCAACTTTACCCCGTCAATCCCTCAGAAACCAAGACGCCTCAAGATTCTCCGCAGCCTGCCACGAAAGCCACCATCCCACCTGTTCAAAGTTTAAAGGGCGGTCAGAGATTGGCCGAGGGACAACAAGTTGATACTAGCTGTTCCTGTCTGATGTGCCCTTGCACGTGTTGGTTCGGAGTGCTTGGCCAGGAACATCTAAGCCTCGGTGACACTTTTTTTGACATGGTGATGATGTCCAACTGATGTGATTCATCCTTCCACGTTTGAGGACTTGGTTGGCTCAAATACACGACGGAACAGAGGAGGGGCTTCAACACGCCCATTGCTCGGTTCAGGGTGAGGGTGGCATGCATGCTGGGCCTGAATAATTCCAGCAGGGTCTTGGGGCATGTGATGAGCACGGTTAGAACGGAATAGTCTTCCTGGTTATTCAAAAGTTCGGCAGCGAGGACCATGCAGAACTGTCATTTGTACTTTCTTGGAGGTTGTAAGGCGGCAATATCATTGTTCCAGGGTGGGTGGGGCAATAGCTGGTATAGTCGGCTTATGAGTCTAGCTTCTCGGCTGCTGAGCTCAAGAGCCCACCCGCAGAAGGAGCATCGCATGTGATTGGCCCTTAGGGATGCCAGGGACATTCACAAACCCTCTACAACCTCGGCTATGCCTTAGCAGAGGAGAACACCTACGTCTCATTTACCAATCATCTCGGCATGAAAAATGCATAGCGGGAAGTCAGCGCCAATTCCATTTGCACCCGCAGAAAACGCACAGCATATCCTGTCCCGACGAGCTTCCCTCTTGAGGATTTACAAGCAATGATTTACTGACCATATGGCAGAACTGTTATGAAGTTGACGTGCTATGTACATCTGTGTATGCGTTTTCAAGCCTTGAAGGTAAGTGTAACTGAACTAGATTTTTATGTAATCCGCTACGCTGATTGCTAGTTACATAAGTCATGAACACCCTGGGGCTCTATGATCCTTGAGGAAATAGTGGGGCTGATGAGGTTGATGGGATAGGTACGCAAGGAGAATTGCTACTGCTTGTTGCTATTCAGTCTGGGCTCGATTGCCTCAACATACCTTTGCAAACGCGGGTTCTGAACTGTAGCCGGAGTCATTGCCCAGAAAACTCTGAAAACAAAATCACATCCAGAAGCCAAAGGCGCCACGGTGAAAACCTTGAGACTTGAGTCTCTGCAACCGTACAGTAGCCAGCACATTTCGAAAAATCCTGCAAACCTGCCTCGAACTTCAGGCTGCGCAAACCTTTAACTTCCCCAATGCCAAGTTCCGGCCTCCCTGAGGCCTTGCTCGGTGACTTCCCTAAATTCAGACCCGTTGTGGATCCTGGGCTTAGGATTGTGCAGCTACCAGGTGCCAAAGGATTGCAGGGTGTAGGTTTGCACGTCCTGAGGTTTGGATGCAGCGCTGGCGCGGCTACGTGCCTGCACCTGATGTGCGTTGCTTTGGAGCACTAGCGAAGGCAAATCAAGACGACGAAGAAGCATGCCAACTGTTGTATCATGATGTCGTAAAAGGTGTGATTGCACACCGCGCACCTCGTTGTCGGCTTATGATCCACCTCCTTTAAAAAAAACTGCAGGGGCTGCAAAGGTCAGGGATCCTCTGGGGCGTCCTTACCGTCAAGATGGCAGCAATATACCTGCTTCCATGCCGAGTGTCTGTGGCTGACGTGCTGCGACTTTCCAAGTTCCCAGCCCTTCTCGTTGTCACGGTTGGCCGAGTCAGCTACATTGCTGAAGGACTTCTGTCGTTCCTCCACGTGCAAAAGGGTATGACAAACACAGCAGAAGCAACTTGCAACTTCCCTAAGCGTGCAAATACCCCCGAACCTCCTGGGAATGCCTGACTTGCAAGCTCAGCAGTGAAACTGGGGAGCTCGCATGTTCAGTTTCCTAACACTTGAAATGGCACAGACAGATTCAGCACTAACCTAGGATTGCGCACAGCTACACCTTTTCCAACCCTAGATCATTTTTCAAAACTAGAACCCTGGTCTCACCCACATTTGCGTGGAATAGCGTTGTCGAACCTCCCCCCGGTGGTGGTCTGATGGCACTGAGTTTTTCCGCACAGTATATTACGGCTAATTCCTGACAAGGGCTATGTACAAGGAGGCATGACTAAAATGAGCCTTTCTGGCTACGGCGTTCAAACCCAGGCAGTCCTCAGGGCTCAGCCTGGCCACCTCTTCGCCATCAATGTCCCGCTCAAGGATTTCGGGGAGCGCCCCACTTCGTCCTATCAACTCTGTCTCCTCTTCGATTGCGTCTATCTCTTTGATCTGATGTCCGTCCTTGGAACAGCCATCCAGCCAGGAAAAACCTTCAAAGTCCCAAGCCCTTAACATCGGCAGAATCTTGTGAATAGCTTAATAGCTTTTGCTACTTTTAGGCAAACAATCAAAGTGCCTGGGCTGGAAAGTTTCCTAAATGGCCGATACGACATGGGGCCTGGTGAATTGATATGATTTGCGTCTCATAAGCGCACGTAATGCCCTGGACCACTGCGGGGTCTCGCATAGACGCCAGGACTGAGAAGTAGCTATCAAAGGACTTTCTTCAACAAAACATATGTCGCAATCGTCCTTTGACAAGTGCTGGTAGCTAACATCATGATCAATTGCCAGAACCACACTCACAACAATCCTAGCATCTGAAGTGGTCTTCTGAGGGGGGTGATTTGACCATAGGCGAAAAGCTGCAATGACATCTTCTGTTTGCCCCGTCCCCGCATATCCAAGGAGCACTCAACTCATAGACCTACTGGAAACCCCTCAAACTGAACCAGATAAAGCACGCCCAAGTCTCACTGACTGTTGGGGACATTTGTGAAGGCCTCCTGCCTTCAATGAGCTCCTCCCTAAGTCTCTGCATCTCATATCCTTTGCACCACAGGGCGAGCTGTTTTGGGGCTCACCAGTGATTCCATACAGCATGAGGTATTCCAAGCCGTAATTGTTGGGCTCAGACTCAGAAAGCTAGGGAAGGGACTTGAACCATGGACCTGGAGAAAGTAGGCAGATCTGATCTAAGTTTGGCAAAGCATATTGTTGACAGTAACTTTATGTGCATTTCGAGAAGACATGAGTTTGAATACCAGATTGCTAAGCAATATGCTTGTAGATTGTAGAGCATCATTGCTAAGCTTAGCATAATAGCCTAATAGGAAAATGGCCCTTGAGAGTTCTTACTTGACCTACAGGCCAAGTACATTTAAGCTCTTGTCACATGGCATGCTTCAAGCACGGCATAGGGGCCTAGAGATTTCGGGGTCATTTGGAGGGTCAGAGTTCACGAGGTTTCGCGCGTCCATTGATGGTTCAGCCGGCAGAGGAACTGCAGCAGTTGTGGATTTGGCTTCATCAAGATATTTTTCTCCTGGTTGCATCAAAGCATGGCTGGCCCAACCATGGCACGCCGGCAGTGGCCCTAAGCAAAACAGTGGTATGCCGCAAACGTGATGCTTCAGAAGAAATTTCCCTGCTTAGCCTTTGAATGAAAGCGCTGGCCATCTGACGCTCGTGCGCCTTTCACTATGAATAAAGAAAGGCGTATACCCAAATCTAGCAGGAATAGAGCACCGGCATGCTATTTGGGAGGTTGAGTCCTTGGCTTGTTTTTGCGCTTCAGGATCCGGGGCATTCCCAAGTTATGGGTCTCTCTCTGGAATGCTTAGCCTCATCTTTGTGCACCTTCTTGGAATACAGGTTGAGGCTACATTTGAGAGATGCCCCTCTGAATTTAAAGCACTATCAGCCACTTTTGCTGCTGCCGTGTTTCCCCCCAAAAGCCACAAAGTGTTGCAAACAGCCCTTGTCCTTTTTGGAAGCAAGCATGTACAGGTATCTAAGCGATCCCAAGCTCGGATTAAAATTCCCTTGAGAAATACAAACACCAGTACAAGACAAGGAAGGCTTCGGTGGCACGCACGTAGCTGCTTCAACAGCTCTTCAAATTGGTCCAGAGGTTGGTTCAAGGCGGTGCTAACCAAGGGGGTGCTCAGTGGGACGCTGACACCGACATGAGCCGAGTCAGTCATGGCGCACGGAAAAGACGTCCAGCAGCTTAAGAGCAAATGCCTCTTTGCAACCACAGTCCAGCAAAATACACGCAGTGGAGAACACCAAATCAGGGGGTGTCGACATAGCAACAATGATCATGAAAAGGAACTGCAATTAAATTGCTGTCTTCATCATCTTTACAGCTACAGGCTGAGCACCCTGGCTTCTTGGAGCCCAGTTTAAGCTGCGGCAATTGCGTATGAAGTAGAAACCCGCATGCCAGACTGGGCTCATGCGGTACCGGTATAGTATGCTATGATTTGTACTGTCACAGCATTGGCAGGCTTCGGTAGGTTGTCGGAACGGGAACATCTGTCATCAGGTGATATTGATGTTCTGTGTCCGCGCGAGGATAAGGACTCGTTTAAGACCAGCGTAATTCTGTAGCGGCTAAATCTGGCGCCGCCCGGCTACTCAGCGAAAGCTCCGTAGCATGTTCTCTTCATGCAAGGCCAAAATGGGATGGAGACAGTGAGCAAATTCGAAGTGAGGCCAAGGGCTGGCAAGAAACCATCTGCTCAACTTCTGGCATAGTTACTTGCCTTTGGGTTTACTTGCAGCATGCCCGAACCCATGACATCTGCTTCTTTGTTCTCTCTTCTTCTTCTTCTTCCTCTTCTTCTCCAGGCTGTAAGGCGTCGTAGCCTTTCTCTTTCTTCTTCTTCTTCTGCCAGCGCTGGAGGAGGCTTCCCTCCCCCCGTGAGCACTGCCTTTCTCTTTCTCTCTCTCTCTCTCTAAGAGCTCCCTGCCTCACTAGCTGCGCACACTTCTCTGCCAGCCCGGTTGAGTCCACATACTCCTTCGCATCAGGAATCAACTCTGCTTCTACGAGGGCTGGATATACTTCACAGCAACCATTGGCGTAAAGAATCATCACGAGCAGTATTCTGCCTTCGTGCAGTTGCTTTGCTTTACAGAAGGAAATCCTCTGAAAGCCCTTAACTCATGGCCAAAATGAGCGGTGATGAAAAGTCAGGAATGGACGTGGTTCCTCGTGCCACCCGTACAACCCCCCAAAATAAAAATCTCCTGTGCAACTCCCGGCCCTTGTTGAGGGATGAAGCATCTTTCAATTATCTAACTCCTGGCGTGACACGTATTGTTCCAGGATGTTCCACGACAATTTGAGTTGTCTTCGTGAACGCCACATGCACTGCAGAAATCATCCAGGCATCATACGGCTGCATTATTAGAGCATACTTGAACCCGTGGACCTGATTACTGCGCGTATTTGTAGGACCTTGGCGACTCTGAGTAGCCCCGACAATGAATAACAAACCCACGGCCTGTTGTTCCGGTGATTGTACCGAAACGCGGTGACAACCCCTACAAGAAGCCCGCACTTCCTACTAATTGCGAGCTTTATACTGCTTTGTGCTTAGACCTATCATGATTCTCCAGGCTTACTGCACACCCTCAGTTGCGCTCCGATTGCTGCCTCGGCCATTTCTAAAAGCTCCACCGCCACTTCCGGCCTGTGTGTGACAAGTGCTAAACACACAGTATGAAGTTACCTTTGAGGGTCTTCACTAGAATTTCTCTGGCCGGGGGATTTCGAGGGTTCAGGCTTGGAGCCTGCACAGTTCCCTGGCGCGTAGTAGCACAAAATGTCATGCACTAGCAGGGAAGCTTGACTAACCAAACGTCGGAGGGCTCTCTTGAAGTTATTGTCAAACATACGCACCCTCCGTACCCAAGGTATGACCTCCCTGCTGAGATCTTGTAATGGGCGTAGACGAGCAGGGAAAATCAGGAAGTTCACTGACGATTGGTAGCACAGAACGGAGCCTGCAGTCCACTCGATCGTCGTGCAAGTACCGGCCATAGGCAAGAAGTGCCTGGCGTGAAAAGCTGCTCTTCTGTGACATATAGTCCTGCTTCCAAAGGGAAGCCTGGGAGTAAACATAAAGACTCTCACGTAAGCAGACTCTTGGTTCGCAACAGCTATCACTACCTGGCCGCGACTCAAAACATCAACTGTCGATGATTGCCTGCATGCGCACCCCACAATTTGCGTCTGGAAATCATGATAAAGGACAGGGACATGCACGCTGAATTGTGAAGCGCTGCAGCAGCCATCTGCTTGGTGGGATGGGCTGCAACTTCATTGATTCACAACAAAGGCTTCTCAAACGCAAACGATCATGCTCGAGGAGGGTCCATCCAAATCTGAATTCCAAGTCGGTGGGCTACCATTCCATCGTGGCGCCCCTGCCTCGTAGGAGTACTTGTGTATCCGAACCGTGTATCTGCCGTCCTCACTGAAGAAAGATCAGGACAACCATCAATCACATAGGGTGTCTCTCCAAGCCTCTTAGACTTGAAGCCTCAGTGCTTTGTTCATTGCTTAGTTTGGGAACAGAAGAGTGCAGTTTTGCCGCCTGGGTGGACCTGTCATAACAGTATGCGAAAGCTTTTCTTGGTATGCAACCATGTTTGTCCTTTCCCGGTTGCAACTTGAGCTTTCATCAAAATGGAAGCAGCAGTCTTCCTCAAAACATAGGACCCACATAGCCTCATACACGGGCACGGTATTGTGAGAAGCCGCGATGTTGGCTTTTTGCTGTGCTTTTGGCGTGCCTCCTTGTGCCAGCAGCTTGCAAACACTACAGCGAGCCATGCGACTGCCCTAACGCTCAAAGCCAACCGTCGCATTGGCTTACACTGGCTTACACCTTCCAAACACACCTAATAACTCAACCTTCACACCCTTGAAGACTCACCTCAGCCTCCAATGTAACCGTGCTGTCACATCTCCTGTCCATGCCACATGCTGCGCACAAACTTGAAATCCCAGATCTTGAAGAAATCATCAACCGAGTAATTTCCCAGTGCCCGCCCTGCCGACAACCAATCTGCAACCCGGCCCATGAAGAGGAGCCCTGCAATGACTACGTTGTTCCGTGGACAGCTGCCAGGTCATTTTTGAAACAGCGTCCTCGTGGCGGGAAACGTTGCCCTTGCAAGGGCTTTCGAGAAGCCTCTCAGATCTCTGCAGCTGTCCGAATGCAAGTTGGTTGGGGTGCCCTTCTCCAAGCCCCTTCTGGAAGATGCCCTTTCCAAGTGAATATGTGTCACATGAGGAGTTAACAGCTCGAGTTCTGGCAATCAAGCAACACCGTCTGGCAGGTAGCCAGATTGTCGCCCCATGCAGGTTCAGATAACACGGACAGCACGAGCCCCAACTTTCTTTTGCAGCCCTTTGTGAGGCTTTTCCCTTCTGCCCCCAACCCTAAACTCCCTGAATTGCAGACAACCCGCCTCCACAAGTACCTGAGCCACGCCCTACCAAACGCCAGGACACAGGGCAACGGGGCCCGGGCATTCGGGCAAAGGGGTCCGGGGCTTCAGGAAGTAGGGGATGTCCCAAGGGTCTGGCGTGTGCATTGAATTGAATTGAGGGCCCTGGTTTTTCTCCAGCCTGCCTGGCTACTATTGAAAGTACAAGCTATGCCATGCTGACCTGCAATCTTATCAGCACCTGCCAGCAGTTCGGCAAGAAGTTGAAACAGAGCTCAAGTGAATTTCCTGCAGTCGAAAAATCCAGGCTCTCGGTCCTAATGATGCTCTGCGCCAAAGGCCCATTGAACATGTTTTGGCGGTCGGGCAGCTGAAGCCGCAACACCCCCAACTTGAATCTGACACAAATACGGACCATGACTGATGTTCCCTATGGGACCTGAAGCAATAGCCTCACGAGACCTATCTTTTGCGAAGCTCTCCAATTGCATCCGTGGTGCTGCGATCGCACCTTGATTGTGTCCAAGCCCACCTCATTGTCAGGGCCACCCTTATTGTGAGGGACTTGTCAAGTCCCCATACGGTTTAGGCCTACAGTCACCTTGGGAAGCTCTTTGGCCTTCGCGGTTGCTACCAGCATCCGTAGATTGCACACCCTGAAAGTTGCTGGAGTCCCTTCTTGAATGCCTGATGTACATGGGGCAACATAGCAACATGGTTTATCTCTCTTTCTCTCCCTACAGACACACACACACACTTACATACATGTACAGATATATCTATATCATATGGGGTGTTCTGACAGGTGCCCTTGGGTACCCGCATCCCCACTCAGATTCCGCACTGGCAATGTCAAGAAAACTCCCCGTCATCTATCTTCCGGCCATTGCTCAAAAGAGCACTGCTGGGCCCGGCTGGGTAAAAGTGCAGTGCTCGATATAAGGTAGGACATTTGACGTGGATGTCAAACTCCAGCATTTTGCTGGATATATTTTTTCGTATACTACATAAGCACATTGATCTGACCCATGTCCCTTGTCGGCTGTTGTTACATGATTATGCACGGAAAACATCTGAAACTGAAGGTTCTCAAGCTCGTGTACTGATGTTTCCCCAGGTTTAGAGATAGCCACATGTTGCTTCCAAAAAAGTAAAGCCTTAAACGTGGGATTCGATTGCTACATGAGACCCTGACGTGCACGGAGTAGTTCGCTTCGCCCGCCTTCTTCACCTGGCCAGTGCTACTTTGGGGATCTGCGGGTGCAGGATTCCAGGATGGTACAGGATTCAGCGGCCTAACCTCTAGGACTTCAGGACTTCCGGACTCGCGTGATGCATAGATTGTTTTTTGGCCACGTGCATGGCACAAACGGCATAGCAAGGTTCCAATCAATCTCCTTGGTTTATACCCAGTGCGGGATCAGCAAGCTGATCCCCATTTTGAGGGTCTGCATGAGTTTAGGGTAGTAAGGAACGGAGACATGAAAGTAGCAGGGCTATCAGCGAAAGCATCGTAGGTGCCGCTGACTCTCCGCGTTCCTAAAAACCGGCATATGTGGAGGTTGCGCGGTGTCGAAGGTGAACATTCGAACAGGCCAAGTCTTGGGACTCATTCAAAAGCGAGGTGCCGCTATCACCACTACCACTGCCAGCTAAATTCTGATTTATCGCCATCCCAGCTCAAATGCCCTGACTCGTAGCACATGCATGTAACATGTCCTTACAAGTCAGATCGTGCAACACTGGATGACAAATCAAATAATGTCGAAAGCGGTACCAAAAATAAGAAGATCAACAAGCGAACTTAATTAAGTTGCTGGACTACGACCTGCAGCTGGTGATGGCAACATAAGCGTTGAAGTCAGCGGAAGGCCCCTCTTTTAGGTTGTGGCCGGGACAAGCTTTATGAAAAACTACACGGGGGGGCCGGCTTCTCCGTGGAAGGTTTACAAGAAATTGCCGCTTTCACTCTTGCAACCGTTCTGGTCATACTTTGTGCTCCACACCCGCCTGCAGTCCATGTATCACACATTTTTCCCCGCCATGCCGGTGTTAAGCACCTTGCCCCTCAAAATCAGCAAACTCGTCCACCTGACACGGGCACAAGAATTCATTTTATGGCTCCACTTTGGCCGCTGGCTGTATCGGTAGCAGAAAGTTGGACAGCTTGCAGTCTGGGATGTTTGAAAGACGACTAGTCTACCAGGTTACAATACCCACCTGGAGGCAGTCTGGGGAGGCATCCCTCAGCATCTATATCCTATACGCAAGCCTAGTAGCCATTTTTTCCCTTGTGGAGGATACTGTCACCATGCTCGCTTTCCTTTGCTACTAAATCCTAGGACCCAAGCCCTTCCTACCTCTTCCGCTGCCACAACCGGACCTATCTTCTCCCGCAGCTGATGCAGGATCGCCCTGGTGGGGTATTAGGGTCATGGAGTCATGGGCCTCATGGGAAGTATCTAGGCTTTGGGGAAGCGGTCTTGTGAAGAGGTTCGGTTTTTTGACTGATGGTTTGGGGACAGGTGGTTGGGTGATTGTCGATCAGTCTGGGGCATGCAAATGTAGAAGCTTGTGTTGAAGGCAGGTGCAGTTGCATCCTCCCAGCTAAAACGGTCAAAACCAATCCCAACCTTCAGGGCCTGCCGTCCACCACTCAAGATCCTATTGACACTCCATGATGGAGGTCCTTCTGTTCGAAAGGCCCAGATGCTTGTCGTCAACAACAGCTCTGTCCTAGAAGGCTCCTGATTATGCATTCAGGAGGCGGCCTGAAGATGTCCACGTTGTGCTCTTTCAGCTGGATCCCTGGCAGTTGCTACACTCCCCAAAACAAGCACTGAGCTGGCTTTGGCATTCAGCTGACGAAAGCCCTCTAAATGCTTGGGCCGAGCGTCTAGCCGCGTTTTTATCCTTGCGACAACATGGGGAAGGCTAAAAATGGTATAACTTACCACTTTCAGGGGGTCCCCACGGTTAAAACTGGCCTTATGCTCGGTCGATTTTTTTTGAAAGCACGCGTCCTAGGCGAGGACATCTGAAGCAACTGCGTTGCCTCATTTCTTTGGCCTACGTCGCAAGACGAATGGAATTGGTTTGGGCATGGATGCCTTGGTTATCGCACACAATTATTGTTTGGGTATATGGATGCTCGCGTCATCGTATGCTCTTGGAACACGAACGGAATTACGGTTTGGGCATGGATGCTCTGATCACCGTGTGCTCTTAGAACATGAGCGGCATTATGGTTTGGGCATGGATGCTCTGGTTATCGCACTCATTAAAAGATGAACGGATTTACGGTTTGGGCATGGATGCTCTGGTCACCGTGTGCTCTTGGAACACGAACGAAATTCAGGTTTGTTAGCGCACTCATTAAAAACCTGAACGGAATTGTGGTTTGGGCATGGAGCTCTGGTCACCGTGTGCTCTTGGAACACGAACGGAATTAAGGTTTGTCATCGCACTCTTTAAAAAATATGAACGGAATTATGGTTTGGGCATGGATGCTCTGATCACCGTGTGCTCTTGGAACACGAACGGAATTATGGTTTCAGCATGGATGCTCTGGTTATCGCACCCATTAAAAGATGAACGGAATTATGGTTTGGGCATGGATGCTCTAGTTATCGAACTCATTAAAAGATGAACGAATTACGGTTTGGGCATGGATGCTCTGGTCACCGCATGCTCTTGGAGCACGGACGGAATTATGGGCCCGCGCTGAAAGTGCTTTGAGCGAAGCTTGGCCATGGCCGACTACATTGTGTGGCTGCTGGGCGCGCAACCGCAGGAGCTGCGCGCCACTTTTGAGCTCAAAAACCAAAGTGCTGGCAGGTGTGGCATTTCTGACGCATGCATTTGTGCGGCGAAACGGCTGGTCCGAGGGCTTAACATGCAATGATGCGAGGAGAGGGGCTGCATCGTGTCTGCATCGGGGATCGCATTGGCTGGGAGCTTGCTTTAACCCAGAGCATTCTCCAGCCACTGCCAGTGCATGGCAGAACGGATTGCATACGCTGCAAGTTGCAGTCTGAGCGATGTCTGTCGCGGTGCTTCGGTATCCTCTAAGATTCTTGGCAGAACTGTGTGCTTGCTATGGGTTCGGTCAATCTAGGTTGGCAGTCAATTAATCCCTCAAGCTCGCCTAGAAAACGGAAATAGTCTTTGCTGCCCCGGCTGATGTCGAGTTCATGCTTGCTATTCCGCGGACGAGCTGCGCGAGGCTCTGGCAACAGCCACCACATACTCAAATACTCAGCTTTCCTGCATGGTTTTGTATCCATATCATGGCTCACAGAAATACTCAGAGCCCCAACATAGCAACACACACACACAGAGTTGCCCACAAACTCCAATACCATCCTCAAAGGGATCCCAAGCAGCTTCCAGCGCTGTTTTCCCGTGCAAAGTTCCCAAGGTGCAGAGTCCCAACAGGTCCGGCAGTGAATTCCAGGTCCTGAGGTATAGCATATTGCGAAAAAGTCATAGGGCTCATATTAACAGTTGCCGCGATGCGAAGATGAAGTCAATCTTACAATTAAGCCCAATTCCTTAAACACCAAGCCCTTGCTGTCGTGATTCGTTCAAATGCTGCATTCTCCGTCTTCATGGATGCATTCTGCTCCGTTGCCCACATGGAAGATTAAAAGGGGCAAGCTTAAATTCCCAGATGCTTCCGGAACTGGGAGCCGGAGGGAATGGGCTTGAAGGCTAGCTAAACACTGGCCAAGTTCAGCCTAAGCTGTGTCCGTGACACTCCTTGGTTTTTAACTGTCCTCCTAGACTGCGGCTTCTCCCCCACGCTTGGTTCATCAGGGCTGTCAACACCAGACACACCCGAAACAAGCCCCAGACCCTTGTGGGTATCTACTACATGTATGGCTTTACTTACAACCGCCAACAAACCTCCAAGTGGTTGAAATCTGTAGAAAAGCACTCGAGACTTTCTGACGCCAGGGCCTAGCAGGATCGGCTTGGACGACTTCTGCGCTACAACTTCAATGAGGGATCGGGCGATGGCCTCAGCTCTAAGCAGGAGTCTTCAGCAGCCAAAACGTCAGACACACGTCTTGTTACAAAGGGTCAATTGATACATGGGCGCCAAGTTTTTAAGAAATGCCCGGTGCACTAGCCATCGGCAGGCCCCAAGCTGCCCTGCCACATTTCCAGGTATATGCAATGACATCACTGGGAGCCGTAGTTGGCAAGCATCATGCATTTTGAAATTGTGCAGCATCAAATACTTAAGTTGAATGACAGGTTTCCACACGGTTCCCGTTCAGTTAGCAAAAAGTACAATCGCCCCCGAATTCATCCCAATTGGCACTGCGTGGCGTGGAGGAGGGCGTCCATCCTCTTCCCCATAACCGCAAACCAAATGACAAAATTTAAAGCCAACTGGCTCTGTAATGCTCTTGGCGGCGATCGCCAAAAAGCACCTGACACTCCCAAGGGAGGAGAGTTTAGGGATGGAAGTTGGGTGAAAGATCTGCTGGGAGATTGCAATGACATTTTTGAGCAAGGAACCCGACGAAAGTCAAGATGCGCAGGGAACCTCTGCATCGTGAATTCCCCTGGTTGGCTATGTCCAAATACATGGTCCAAGCTGCCATTGAATTCAACTTGCTTCGGCAGCATGTTCAAGGAGCTATCATCTAGTCCGGATCTGGGTGGGGATTCTGCAGCAGTCGCAGGTCGCCATTCAATGTCACCCAACTGCTTTAGCCACAACTCTCGCAGGAATGTCCCTGGAGAAAAATGGGTTTCGATTCCATGCACTTCTAAGCAAGTTCGTCAGATTCAGGCATGCGAAAAGCAACTAATATCTGCTTGCGAGACCCCTGACTTTTTGGTGGCTGTCCCTGCTATTCGAGCGACCCCCTCTCTGTGATTCTCGTTTTTCTGTTAAAGAGTCTGAGGCGCTTGGACGTCGTAGGTGCGCTCGCCGCGCGCAAGGCCTGCGCGTTGATGGCAAGCATGTAACTAAACATGCTGCCTTTGGAGACAGGCGTGCCATTCAGCATCTAGCCCAAACCTTTGGCCCAAAAACAAAAGACCATCAACCCCAAAGACAATCAAGCCCCGGAACCTCCGAGATCCGCGGCGTCTCCAGAGTTCGGCGCTGAGGCAGTCGCCTGGCAGTACCGCTCTTTCGACACACGATGTGTTTGCAGCATGCGGCAGTAAAGGTTGAGAGCGACAATGGCAATATGGTGCGCTTGCATGACAATCAGGAGCGCAAGCACAGAAATGTCAGTACTTGCACCAGTTTCTTCGCGGAAGTCGTGACAGTATATAGTTGGCAGCACCAGCAGTTGCACCCGCACCCGCAGCTCAACTGTCTGCCTCAATGGGGAAGGGGCAAATCCGGGCTCCTACAGTGATCTTCGACCTTTAACAATGGGGTGCAGCACCTTCTGAGTGACATTGATAGCAAGCTAACCCAACCGCTCCACTTCCTACACTGCACAGATGCATTGCTTCCTGGATCAATGAGCCGATCTTCGCATTCTGGGTGATCAAGAAGAACAGTTCGGAACCTTGATCACGGTCTTTCTGGTGCTTAAGCTGGGAGTAGAAGAGTGAAACATTCCCCCTCAAATCCTCTATCATAGTACTCGTGCCAAAATTTGTTTGCCTGTCCACGTTTAAAGAATAGAGGCTGGATGATCTATGAGCTGTGCTTGGTATTCAACGTTTGTGCACAGGCCCTTGGGGCAGGCAGGCTTCCTTAGATTTCAATTTTTTATAGACATTCAAGACCATCTCGAGAGTATGCAGCACCAGGCAGTGTAATCGGAATCTTTACTCATGGTGCCGACAGAAGCAGGGATCATTGTATCTGCGCTGACGAGACTTGCACCCAAAAACACGACGCTCACCATGAGCCATGCTAACAAACGTTACCCATGTTGCCCTGTGCGGGTGTTTTTGCAGGTGCTTTTGTCATCGGAAAGTCATGCACGTATCCTGACTCTGCCCGGAAAAGTGCAGGATGTCCAACGGATCAGTTCCGTTCCCCCAAACAGTCTATTCACCCCCAGCTGCTCTCGAAGAACTATTCGCCTTGCATGCTGAGTCCCGGGCCAAAGTCTGTGATGACCTTGGAGCTTGATCCGCTAAGCTTTGCTACTGGACTGTGCCCGGTACGACCATGCCATGTGCACTGTCACGCGGTTCTTCTGGTTCAAGCGGGAGCAGGAAGGTGATAATCTTAACAGCCACTACGCATCTTTCACGTCTTTTGCTATTACGCCCAGCAAACTCCATCTTTACTGCTTGTTACACACAGGGGTGTTTGATCGACCATGGTCCTGGTAGTCGGACCCTGTTGAAAGTCACGTCGCTAAGAAGTTCGCATTGAGTATGAGGAAGAAAGAGACAGATATTCAGACACTCTCACACACCAGTCATGTCCAAGCGCTCTGCAGCTCTCACAGCAACCAGATACAGCAGCATTTTCTCGATGTCCTTCTGTATGTTATGTTGGGATCGTCTCCCCTCCTTCATGTTTGTAGGGTTCTCCTCACTTTGTGTACAGGCCTGCAATTCCACGAAAGGGAGCAAGAGGCTTGGGGTGATAACTCGAAGCAAGGTATTAATAACGTAAACCTTGCCCGTCATGGCCTGTGGTAAAGCTGAGGGCATGATGTATCTTGGCAGAACATCCTGCGTCACTTGTTTGATCCCGATTGGTGCGGGGGGCCTGGAGTGTGCGAAGCTTTGCCAAAATTATTCGGAACGCCCTGTTTGGGGGCCCTTAATCCTGCGAAGTGTTGCCGCCAAAAAACTTTTCGGAAGATAGTAACAATAGTACATAGAAACTTTTCTAAATGCCATCTGAAACCCTTCTGAGCTTTTGCCTGAGCCGATCCAATCCCTCTTATCGCAGTGAATTTAGAGCTAGGATCCAGATTTGTCTGGCCCCCCCTACCACTAAAGAAGGACCCCCTATGTTGAGGGAGGGAGCCCTACACTAATCAGGGCTAAGCATTACTTGATGCCAGAAGTCCAAAGATTGCCCTAACGCACCATTAGGTTGGAAAGAACCAGCTCAAGTCACTGCATTGGCCATGAGTTTGGCCTAGCTTGCACACTCAGTCGGCAAGAAACATCAGCGGCTAAATGCAAAAAAGACGTGGATCTAAAATAAATAATGCAAGCTCCAAGATCAATGCAAGAGTTGTCTCACGGGGGGTGGGGTCTTTACTGCTCCTTGACCCTGCTTAATATGCAACTTGTGCTCGGATGTGCTAGCTTTGCTTTCATGCTGGCTCTCCCTCACTTCAGCCGAGCCGCAAAGCTTGTTGGTGTTCCCTGGATCTCTGCTTCCTTGGCACCACGAGATCTGCACAACTAGGGGAATATTATGACCACTCATTGTTGCCGCATGCGCTCTAGTTTAGAAACAGCATTTCAAACACTATGCCCATGCGCTCGCCCCCGTACTACACCTCCCTTTTATACTGAATGCTGTGTCCTACGCCCCTACCAGGATCATCCGACTTCAGACAGCACTTGACAGGCTCAGGCTGAACATCCCCTAGGCCTCAGAGTAGTAATACTTCTATAAGAAGCAAAGGAAGAAAAGCGCCGTGCTGTGTGGCTCTCGCGGCGCCCGACCCCACCCTTGCCATCATGCTTCTGGTAGCTGATACCTTGAAGGCTGCTGCCGTTGCTGCACGATGACCCCCCCTCTTCTCGTCGCAGTGAGCCTTGCCTTGTGTTTGCTCCTTCACTTGTCACTAGTAGAATAGCAATGATCTCTTAGGGCCATGCTGCCGATGCTTGCAGGGTGTTGGGCTCGTTGCTTCTGACTGCTGCAACCAGACTCTAAAATGAATAGCGTGAAAGCGTACAAGAGGGGGATGTGAAAAAAAGCGTCAGCTATGTCCTCTGTTACCTAGTACTCCTCTCCAATCTGTGCTAAGCGCCAAAGAGAACACCGCCAAAACTTGGCTTTCAACTCCTAGCCACTGGCCTGCAAAGCGCAAACTTATACCTGCCTTGTCAGAAACAACTTCACCACAGGCCCAGCTTCCCACTGATGTGACTCAGGCGGCCCAGCTGGCCGAAAGGCCATGGCCGCGGCCCAATGCTAAAGGCACCCAGAGTTTTCCTCACTCTCAGAAACGTAGTTTAGTTAAGGTCCTATATGACTTTGACGCGGCGCTTCCGCGTTGCAACCCGACATCGAAAACAGATTGGAGCAGGAGAACTGACCATGGATGCTCATGAAAAACTTTGGAGGTGCATCTGCTCTCTCTCATGATGTAGATCGCTCTATGCACCAAGAGCCATGTTGCCTCTTGCTGGCTATTGGCTGGTCTTGGTTGGCTAGTACATGGAATGAAAAATGGCTTGAGGGTGCTTCCTTCCTGGGCATGAAAGTTATTGTTGACTGATGCCACGTGACTTGAAACGTGAAGTTGTGATGACATTTCGGACCAGACTGCGTGTGTAGCATGCTGCAGCACGAGGTCCAACGCGCAGCATCTGGCCTCTTCATTTTGACATGTCTCAAAACAAGAGTTTCTCCCCTAGAAGCCCCCCGGAGACATTTGTCTTCACGCCCAAATTTGCAAATCCTTGTTCATGCTAAGATTCACGTTCATGCAGCCGCATCCTGGCATCACATCAGGAGTCATTTTCGGAATGCATTGTTGTTCCGACTTGCTTTTAGCAGGCTCAAGCTGTAGGTCTGTAGGGGCTCGCCCGTTCCAGAGCATTTTGCTGAAGCATGACCGGAACGTGAGGACGTACACAAACACTGGCATCAATGATCCGCAACATGATTCCTCCTGCATCTTGTCTCTTTGTCCACTTGTAAAGGATACCCGCTATGTCACCGCCGCCCTAGGGAACTCTCAAACTGAAGTCAACGAGCTACCGTGCCTCAGAAGCCTTTCATGGATCCGGCTTTGCAGGATTTGCAGGAATCACAAAAGTTCTTTCACCCCGTACTCTGAACTCTCATAAACCGTTAGGCCTTACTCCTGATCCCTAAGCCACCTTCGAGGAGTCTGGTCCACAAGCGAGCACTTTTGACGCACTGCCTGGGTCAGTGAAGATGCAGAAAGATGTCTGTTGCATGTCCCATTCTCACCATAAAAAAGCTTTAGATCTCACATCAGCGCATTCAACACGCAGAACACAACCCTCTTTCACCCTCAAGCAGCCACTGAACAACAGGCCCTCATCCGGCCCGAAACTCCATAGTTTGGCAGGAAGTGCAATTCTGCCTACGAGTCCTTAAGGCTCATCTGGGCCGGGCTGATCAAAGGCGTCTACACGCTATGCACAACGACAGGCCAGGCCTACGGACATAATCTCATGATGCTTCTATGCACCCTGTAGAAGCAGCAATGACCTTTGATTGTTACCCACGGGACCCGAAATCACGAACCTACTGATCTTATTTATGAAGTCCTTTGGCACAGTGCTCCCCCAGTGTACCAACGCACGACATGATTTGTTTAAAGCCCGTATGTGCTCCTGAGATTGGCACCCGCATGCTCTTGAATGACATCTTGTGGCGTTAGGGAGCCACCCTGGCTATGGATTCGGCTTGTTCAGGGTTTGGCGCTTCAGGGATCGGATTTGGTTTGGAGGCCAACTCTTTTAATCACATTCTGCTCACACGGGATGATGGCACATGTAGGGCCGGCACAACCACGGACATGCATGTTTGGGGTTTTGAAGCGAGTCTCCGCACTTTCAGTTGGTCCCAATCTCGCTTGCTACTGCTTCGTGTGCTCATATATTAGTTGCAGCAGATAGTCATTTCTCTCCTGCATGGTGGCACCGTCCATCAATACGACAAGAAAACAGCGTAGGTGGTCCATAATCAGTCTCACTATGTTCCCACTTATGATACTGTGACTCTTGTGGCTTTCGATCGTTCTCATATGGAGACAGGGGCCAGTGTACACAGCCGAAAATGACGTATGTGCATTTTCAACGCCCTGCAGAACGACCCACATCTCTAAGAAGCCTGGAATGGCTACAGTCAAATCTTCTTGTACCGGTTCAATATCAATCAACCTACACAGCACCAGTTGAAATCATCCCTCTGAGACCCAGTGAGTTGGAGAAATCGATTGTAAATTGAAATGAACCATGAATGATGATGATGATGATGAGGAGGATGACGTAGATGAACATGCTGATAAGATGCTCAAGACCACTATGAGCACACTGGCAACGACAGCACACACACAGAATCTTGCCGTCACAACCACGGATCATTACCGTCACAACCACAGCACTAATCTTTGATGATCATAACCATGCCAGCACGAACCGGTCTAATACAAACGCAGGAGGAATGGCAACACTAGGGATCACTACAGTAGAGCCAACACCGAAAGATTATCCCGAAACTACTCCATAGGTAAGCCACCAGCTGCCAGCAACGGTTGAGCAGACTTTACTACTCCTCACACACAGACTAATGACAACAGCAACCGTGGAAGAACACTAGCCAAAACAATGTTCGAAGCAACACACATCAATAACAACCCCAAGTACAGAACCAGGAACCGCGGCCTGAAGCGCTTGCTGCGTCAAGCGCCGCAGGCTCTCCGGCGCTAAGTAACGCTCCACAAGTCGAGAGGCATAGGCCTGATGTCAAGGTAGGGGGCATTTCATTCAAGTAATGTGTTCGGGCCACTGCTTCTGCACCCAGCTTTCCTAGTTAGGCTTCTACTGTATCGACTTTGGGAAATCTTTACTCATGACTGGCCGCGCGAAGGCCAGTGTGGACTGTGGATGGGCCACTGAAGCTTCACAACAATCTGATGTCGAGTGCAAACCTGTCCTGCTGCGCCGTTCCATGCCAACTGGCAACACAGGCTCAAGGACTCAAGGCACTGCTGAGCACAGACTGCTCCAACCTCAATTTTCGTGAAACATATTGCCACTGTTAGGGTTGCTTAGATATAAATCAAGGGCCTGTGCCATGCAGGCGAGTCATAGCTGCGCAACATTTTGATAATCGCTTAATGCCCTTAGGTGCAAATGTCTCAAAGCTAGGGTCCCCTACATACGACCAAATTGGTATGCTCGCGACGATAGATACCTTCAAAAGCCACAAAATCTCGTGTTTCTTGGGTCGCTGCTCCGTCAGGTTCCGGCTCCTCTGCCTTTGCATTTGGGCATCTTTCTTTCGGGCTTCACGGGTGTCACAAAGGGGTTAGACAGGGACTTCATGTGCTGTGGCGTCTGTGCCCCGCTCCTAGTTACTCCTGTCTCTTATTGTTGCAAGTCTTGTCGGTTCAGTCTTTGGCTGGGGCATAGCTTTAGCTATGAGCTTCATCCTGCTTGCTGCCAGCCAATGCTTAGACGCACACTCCTTGAAACGAAAACAGACCCCCACCAGACGGGCCCTACAAATACTACAGTCCTATATCAAAGGGGCTACTATACCAGCCTCCTGGGCTGCAACAAGCTCCACAGCGCAAACCTCCACAGTGCTTAGGCTTCGATGGGGCTCTCGCGAGCGAGCCGCAAGGATTATCCACCTTTTTTGGCGACGACGATTGAAATTAGCATTGTATTTTGGTGTATTGGGTGTGCCTGCACGGCTCCTGACCATGACGCATGCCCAACACTAGAACTCGACAGCTTCATTAATCAGAAATAGGAACCAGCTTCTACAAAAACCAGCCTGGTCGGGCAAGCTGCTTTCTATTATGCTGCTACAAGGAAGCCAGTGTTGCTGTGCTCGAAGGTCAAGATCCCAAGTTGATGGCAAGCATGCAAAAATGGCTGGACTCATGCTGTTGAATTCTCATTCGCATATCTAAGCATTTGCCAGTTTTGGTCATGTGGATGTCTTCTTTCGAGCTCCAACAAGTCAGGCGCCTTTGGATCATTGAAGCCAGGAATGTGCACCTTCACAGGACTTGGCGCATAGGAGACTACATCTCAGGGAATATTGCTCCCCGATGCCTGAAAGTCGGAAAAGGCCATATAGAAGAGAAGGTTTATAGAAGGTTCCGGGGTTTCATAATTAGGAGGTTTCTGGAAGGTGAAAGACGAGATGTTCATGAGGGGTTGCTAGAGGGATGATTAAAGTTTGTAAAGTTTCATGCAGGTAACCCTCCCTTGCTGTGGTTCTGTCGACTGCGGTCTGGGTCCTGAGGTTTATTAAAGGTTTAGACAGGGCTTCTAAAGGGTTGGAAGTCAGAAAGGTTTTCTTTATGAGGTCTGAGGAGATGGGTTCATAGCGCGTTTCTGCAGGATTTATACACTCTTGTAGCAGGCTTGCGGGGTTATAGACCCCAGCACTGTGGTCCTGTGGCCGGTCCTGTGGTGTAGATTTACAGAGGGTTCAAATACCATCTACGTAGCAAATCTACCGCAGCCTTTCCAGCGCTGGACTTCATGCACACGATGCGGCTCTCGATGATGATTGCATCCCTTGCCGGGAGAGCAGGGTCAGCATCCGCAACGTAGCTGGAGGGTTGACAAGTTCAGGTAATGTACCATGCAAGAAGTACCAGTCAAGTCCAAGATTGACTTCTCGGGCACTTCGGATTCTAGTCGGTCGCTTCTTCAGTATCCATGCAGTTGCCGCCGGAATGGCCATTTGCCTCTGTGCTGCGCCGCATAGGGGCCGAATTATCGCAGTACGGTAGCGACTCAGCGTAAATAGCACAGGTATTCTTGCATGCGACAGATGTGTGTACCAATGCTGGCACTTATACTGCGTACATTACATGAACTTGCTGCGCATGCAGTGAACTTTCTTCATGACAGGCTGCACAATGAAAATTCATGGCATGCCTGTCGTACGGCAGAAACTGCTCGATGAGTCCCGCGGTGTGGAAGAGACTCCCGGCTTCGCCACAGATGAAAAACCTCCCAGGTTGCGGGAGCTCCAGGCAAAATAGATGACCACGCTACTGGCTACAGAACACCGGACCCTGACCATGCCTGTCTGGCCGGACACACACTCTCTGAGTCACGCACTCACTTGCAAGACTAGATGGCTAGATATAACGCAATGGTGACTCAGCCTTCGGGAGCGCTAAGAAAATCACCTCTTGTTGCAGACCATGCAGGCTGCCCCAATGCAGACCCCAATTCCCAAGCACCCCGCCCTGCATAGGATCATGATTGGGGAGATCTATACTTGAGTCCGTGGTGCCAGTAGCTATCTTGAAATCGGACCAGGGCCAGAAGACCGGAGCCTAGCGCTGAAGGCGGAAGATAGTCTTCAACTCTATAGACTCTGTAGGCTTCAGCCTAGTAAATTCAGGCACCTGCTGCTTAAGATGGTGGCGAGAGAGTCTGAATAGCTTCAGAAAATTGACGTATAACTAGGAGCCAGCAATTTTTGATCCGGTCAGAAACCCCGGCAAATTGCTGCAGCCTGTTCTCTCGTGTGAGCACCACTGACACATTCAGGCTGGGGTGGCAGAAGATATCAACCGGTAGGCCGTTTTCGTGGCCTTGCGAGCCCACGCTCTGAGGTAGGAAGGGTGGATTTAGGACAGTTTGGGGTTACAAGTAGCTCAGCTGCTCAGCTGGGGCGGTTGGAGCTAGATGAGCTCGAGGCAGATTTAGGTCTCAATCTGAAGCTTTTGCGTTGAAACCCCTGCGATTTTAAGACTCAAGCCGAAGCCCGCCTTTCATACCAAATCGCCAGATGACAGACCTCATGGAACGACTTAACATATGAACACCCCAAAGGGCCAAGGGGCTCCACCCTGCACACTCCCAACCATATGCAACTCAGGTGTAGAGCCTACATTCGAAGACCTTTGCCAATCCCTTCAGCATCTGCCTCTACACCCTCACTTCTACAAGCACGACCCTGACTTGAACTCTGTGCCCCCCCCCCTCCCCCCAAAGCGGCCACATTTGTTTTACAAGCTCTCCCTGCCATTGTTGCCCATACTCCAAACATGCCCGATCATCCAAACCACCTTCTCACATATAGTCATCTTCTTTGAACATTTACAACGTTGAGAAACACGTATCCTTTGGGAGAAGGGGTCATTATTCGGCGAGGTCACGGTTGCCAATCCAGAACCCAAACTCCACTCCACTCATGCAACGCATTGCAAGGCAAGCAGCATGTGGCTAAACCATCTTATGCACATCCGCACAGCTATGAACACTGTCTTTGTGGGGCCCCTGATTCTTCGGGGGGCCCGGACTGGGAGGAATGCCCCCAACAACCCACACCAACAACCTCAAAACGGACCGAAAAACCTGACTGTTGAGACCCTCAAGATAGGCCGCAAACAACGAAACCAACTCGAACGCCACATGCGGATGCGGCATGGTCGTGAATCCGTCCGGATTATTATTGGCACTGCCAAGACAGGCACTACTTTAGACAACCCAAACCCGCCCTCTACGCTTCCAAGCATCCTGGGACACCCTGCCGAAGGGTAGCTCTGTCGTGGTCACGCAGCCCGACACTGCGCTGCTCAGCTGCCTCTGCCTGGAACTGCTCTGTATGAGAATCTTGGCGAGCATACCGTTCTTAACATCAGTGAAACTTAGGGAGGGACCCTTGTGTTCAATGCGGGCCTAAACACAAGGACATGTATTGTACTTCTTCTGGAAAACAGGTCAGCCCCTATGCCAGCCCTCACTTTGGATCGGGCAACTCAGAAGCAAAACACTTATTTCTGGATGCTAGCAAATCCCGAGACTCTGAGAGGCGCCCGATTCCAAGTCCTCGAGAAACGCCATGTGATCAGCATGCGAATGTAAGCCCGAATTCCCCAACCAAACCGGGCACCAACGGGCGCAAAACAACTGACGAATGCTATATAGCTGCAATTCCGTGAACTGCGCTGCCCGTATGTGCTCTGCGCAGGGCTGATAAGAACTACAACTCCATGAACCCTAGACGTCAGTGACGCTACAGTCTCCTTGTCTCCACAGGCATCGTAACAGTAAGAGTCAACAACAGGGCGATGACAAGAGCTCTAGGCTCATTGAGGAAAGAGGAAGCGTGTAGACACAGACACAGCCCAATCCACTAAGCACGACGGGACACGCATTCTGCCCGCACCCATACCTGAGCGACTGGACTCCGACAAAGCAGGCGCGTTACTTCTTGGCTACTGCTACTGCCTTCAAATTCCACACTGTTCACGTCCCAGTATAAAAGCAACCCTCAAAGCTACAAAGCTTTATCACCAATGAGGGCGTTTGCTGTGGCATTTGTCGGACCTCTTGTCTGCATCTCTCCCGATCAATTGCGCTGAGTACATCACAGCGGGGTCCTAGGATTTAGGTTCTTTTTCGGGGAAATCTCTAGTTCTGCTGTGCAATTCCCTTGCGTTGGAGCCGAATCTGCCGTTTGCCTGGAATGCACAGACTACGACTTGAACACGGGTACGCGGCGTCTTGACCCTATGGTAGGCAGCTCCTGTATGGCTCTCTCTTTTTTTCTTTCTTTCATTTGGGCTCTGGAGAGACCCCTGATGGGATCTCCCCGGGCATCCTGCCCAGCCCGTGTACGGCTGAACTGTTCGAGGGCATGGTTGTTAGGTACATGGCCAAGCTTAATTGGAGGATGTTACCATGATCTCTCTCCCACATGGCTCTCTCTCTCTCTCTCTCTCCCAGTCTCTTTGTGCTCTGCGCACTCTTACTAGTCACGGGGCCCGCGAATAATCGCACTTCACTCGTTGCGTGCTATCATTTAGGCTTAAGGCAGCGCATGACTGCTTCCAATTCATGTAACTTCGCCGAACTTAATGTAGGGCACCTCGCACACAGGAAGAAATGTGCAAGTGCACTGGCAAGCTAGGCACCATGCGGCACCCCTTTGATATTTGCTCTGAACCCTGACACCCTGTCCCCCTTGCATATCACGCAACCAGTTGACCTTGAGCCTCTTAATAAATTAGGCATGTTGCTCTGTTGTAATTTTAGGGGCCCGCTGGAATCACAGCAGGAGTTCCCCTGCTCCTGAAGTGCAAGGGCATGACTGATTTTTTACCCACGTTGTGTGCGGAAGTCCTTTGTGCAACGCGGACTTCTACCACCTAGCCCGAATGAACGCTTCGGGGCATGTCCCAGCTCCTCGATCAAGGCAGCGAGTCTCTAAACCCTTGCCCTGAACCCTAAAACCACTGACTACGCAGCCCCATCCCCCCAACACTAGGTTCCAGGCAACTCTCCTGAAGCTGTCAGGAAGAGGGTATGCTTTGCACCACAGGCCAGGCGTACGCAGCGCGCGCTGCCTGCCCACTCGTGGCGTGCTAAGATATCCAAGTCTAAGATTACGTAATTACAGAACGAGACGCTTGCAGGCCCATTTTGACACGTTCATCAAAAACGATTTAGGTGTTTTAGGCTCTTTTACTCGAGCGGGGAATAAAGGCACAACTAGACACGCACCCGAGTCCTGAATTATTGATCACTCCGTGGCCTTGAAATCCAGCTTCCGAGAAGTTTAGACTGTTGCAGCCCCTAGTTTGGAGAAATACACATTTAGAGGTTTCCCAATTTCTATGGGTGCCAATAGAGTCCAAGGCCCGCGCCCAAAAACCCGAACTCTTTTGAAGGCGCAGTTCACGCCCAACCCTGCAAGCCATAACAGCCCTTGTCCTACAACCCTGAACCTTCAATCTCAAATTCCGATGCCTGGCATGTCCAGAGCTTGGGGCCACGGGTTCACCCAAGTCTCAGACCTTCAAAGGATGTTCAGGGATCAGATTAGGGGAGTTTGCTCTGTTCTAGGCGCAAAAGTGGGAAACCTGTGGCTGTCGACCTTGGGTGTTGGCTTTATGGAAGAGCCCCAAATTGTGCATATACAGTGAACTTGCGCCTACAGCATCTACTGTTGTAGACAACTCCTGGGCTTGCAGAGACATGCCAACATGATGGATTTTACAGCCGAGTCGTAGCTCAAGATTATCTGAGTAGAGTCAAGACCAGCGGTTCGCTTTACCCCCCTGCACATCGGAGACATTCTGGAAGCTGTTTGAAAAAAAGCCTCCATATGTATTCATATGATATTCGAATTCTGATGGCTTAGGTTCACTGCAGGTTATACACCAAACGTGGGCTCAAATTGCAAAGGTCAATTCTGCTCTCTACCCCCATGAAGACTGCAGCACAGGGGTTGGAACAGTTGCTTTTTGCGCGCATCGGCGAAAATGAGCTATGTGCTTGCAGAGGGAAGCAGTCCGGTTGCGACTTCCCATACGCTGTGCCCATTGCCTGCACCCCTTTCTCCTTGCTCTTACAATTATTTCTTCAAACGAAGGCTTCGTCGCATAGCAGGCTCGAGCCCGACATAATGCCACCCCAAAAATGCGGAGTCCGTGCTTATCCTTGTTCTGAGGTGACAGGGGGTAAAGGGGGCAATGGGCATGGCAGGCGTTGCATCAAGAACGCCAAAGAGTGCAGAAATGGGCTTGCGCTTGCCCACCAACTCTTTGAGACAGGCAAACCATTGTTCGTCAACTTAGCCAAGTGCTAACATAACTGGGGGACTCAGTTTCAACCTCGAATGGTGTCTTGAAGAGTTTGCCCGCAAGCTCCTAACTGCCCCATACCTTGCTGGGGCCTGCTACAGACATGCACAGGCGCTACTGCTGAACAGAATCGCTTGTCAGAGTCTTCGCTCTCTCACAGCACTTGCACAGTACTCAGGCATCACAAGGAGGGTCTTCCAGATGCGCAGGGAAGGCCTGGTCACATGTGGAGTTGGGGTAGCGACAAAGCTTCAAGCCAGCCATGCTTAAAGGGCCTTTTGTATAATGATTTCAATTAGCAGCGCGAAGAAAGAGCCGTACCCTCAGTCCTAAACCCGAAAGCTCTTCTCCAAACACCAGCCCAGATGCAGGGAATCGCTTTGCAAACAGCTCCGAGATGAACTTCACGCGCTCTGCACCCTTCTTGGGGTCAGCCTTGCCTTAATTGGGCAATGAAGCCATGGGTAGTCTGTAGTAGCAGGCCGCAAGGAGGAGGATTTACTGATGATAGTCTGCGGCCCAACTCTGACAGTTCTGCAGCTCAAGGTGCCATTCCAAAAGCTCGTTCCTGTGCCCTTGTCGGTGGCTTCATCGTACCTGGTAACATCAGACCGTTTCAGTTTAGCTCAGGCGTTGTCAATGCCTGCCTGCTGCATGCACGGAGCATGCTGGGACTTTACTACTGGCAAGCAGCTGTCGTTTCCTAAGCGGGCGACACGCGAATTGGAAAGCTGTTGGCGTCTGAATTTTGATACCTTATTGGAAGAAATGCTGCAACACAGTCAGTGCCCTGAGTCCATATAGGTGGCGCATTGTATAAACATACGCGGGCTGGGGTTGCAACAGTGAGCAATAACCCCAGGCAGACAACACCAGGAAGCAGTTCGCCTTCCATAAATCTATGATGGAAAGTTGGCTAAAGGAGGGGCCATGGAAGAATCTGCCATTAGGCCGCTGCTATCAAAAGCCAAATGTCTTTTTCATCGAAAACGAGCTTGACTTCCCAGGGGATCTGCTCACAAAATCCATTGTTGTGGGTTAGCATCTGCGAAGTTGCCTTTCTGGTGCATACGAGTGAGTTGAGGAAGGGTGCTGCTAGATGATCCCAAGCATAAGCCTTGAAACGTCTGCGTCCACTCTAACTGGAGACCGGAGGAGCTGTTGCACCTCAATGGCAACCCTTGGGCCCCTGAATGCTTCCAGCCCGAGCAGCTCTCGCACGCCAGTGCTCTCACAAACATCGTTGTAGTTCTTGATGCCTGATGAGAACACTTGGCACCCATTGTTGCAGGAAGTTACGGAAAGTTGTTAGACTAGGTTGATAGATGGTCCCCAACACATGCTGATCCACCAAAATCTCCCCCCGCCTTGAGGTGTCAAGTATGTTTCGTCATGATACACCCAAAGCAAAGGGTGCACTTAAAGCGCTCAAAACTTGCCATCTAACCCTCCCAACCCAGCAGCAGTTGATGGAAGATGTCGTGCACCAAAAGATGCTGCAATCCAGGGATAACCCCTAGAATGCTAACGATGAAGCCATTCCATGGTGAGTATGCAAGTACGGATCAGATTTGTTCTTCCGGCCTGAAAGTTCATCCAGCTGAATCTCCCCAGCCTCCTCAATCTTGTAAGTACCTGGAACAGGTCTACGGTTCCAAGCCTCAGGGCTTTGGACTGGGCGCTCTTACTGTAGCCCCAGGCCAATATTGAAATGTGAAAATAGATCGCTTCCAAAAAAGCAGCTGCGGTTTGGGAATGGAAGCCTTCGAATTGAAGGCCAAAAGTGCTTGGGTGGCACCAGGAGAAGAGTTCTAGGCTTCTGGGAAGCACCGCATACAATGACCCTTGACGCGTATCATGGAAAGCAGGAAAGGGTCTGTGGGACTGTTCTCCGGGATCATACAGGGGTTGTTAGTTATAATTATCCCTATGCTTTCTCCCTGCTAGCCAGCAGGCGGAATCTCAAGGTCATGCCGTGCTGAGGGGAACGCCGTCCCTAGTGTGCAGCCAGGCAAAGAAAGGCGGTCGAAATTTCACAATGTAGGGATGGGTTTCCGTTTGGAGGGTGTCCATCAAGGCAAGGGATCAGTTTCTTCAGTGTCCATCGTGTATGAATGGGGGAGGGTCTTCAACAATCCTCCCATGTACTAACCGCAAGACTTCGTTGGGAGTCAAAGCCGGCTTGGATTGGATGGTTTCTTTGAATTCAGAATTCATTGCACGTCAAGTCGGCTCGAAATGGCGGATAAAACAGCGAACCCATTGGCCAAGTCCAGGTATTACCTGCAGCTCAGCTACAGTCACGTGCGCCAGTCACCTGTTGCCAGGCAAAGGCAAGCGAATTGCATAAGTTGGGGCGTCAGGTCGGATCCTGCTGCTTCAGATTTTAGGCGGATCCAGCGTCAACAGGTTGGGCTTAGGTCCTGTAATTTTCATATGCACTTCATCTGAGGGAGCGTGTGGGTTGCCAATGTCCTCCATGACAAAGCTATAGAGACTGTGCTCACACCTTGTAATTGGTTCGCGAAGGCAGCCCCTCATATCCACCCTCAGGCCTCGCTGCCTTTGCACTCCCCACCCGGTTCATGTCGAACGCAGGTGGCAGACTTCTGGAAGTAGAACTTGCTGGGGCAGGTCCTGGAGCAGGATTTTGCCACTTGCATGGCCAAGACAACATCACAGGATTTGAGGTCTAGAGTTCTGGGGCTTGCAGCTCAGAGGCCTGGGAGCTCAACCGTTGGGGGGTTAGCAGCTTGTGGACGAGCCGCCTGAGGAGGAAAGTATGGGGACATCAAAACAGACAGAAAGGCACTGTCTGAAGTCCTGTGCTAGCACTTTATGTATGTCCGTTTAGGGCTGTATGTTTGCTTGGCTTGTGCCACCACAGCAAAGAGCAATTCAGAAAGACTACATGCACTGAAAAAGGCCATTCTGTGCCTGATCCAAGCGACAATGCTTCTCCATTGGTTCTTTGATACTGGCATCTCGTGTTTGGTGCTGGGGCTTCAGTGTGATGGGTCTCAAAATTTGCATGCGGAGGGGGCCGCCCTTAAACAGTACGTATGAAATTAGGACAGGGAATTCTACATGACCCTTCCCCTCGTCCTTGACATTTGGAAAATGAAAGCCGATCAAATTTCTTATGCTAACGTGAGATTTGTCGCTGATGTCGCGCCGGCCTGAGGGTCATGATTCCGATTGCTCCCCACCACAAAGCCATGCACGCCTACTATGAAATTCCCAGGAACCCATTCAACTCAAACACACATATATACAGAACCTCTCAAATCACTGAGCCAATAGCCCTGGCAGTCCCGGGCAAGGAGAACCAGGCAGCTTCACCAGGAAGCGCAACGCGTCCCACGTCATTCTTCCTAAGAAGTTGTTTTTCCCCCCTCCCGCTTGGCTGTGACGCGTGCAGGGTCTTGAATCCCCTTCCTTCGCACCCTTCTCAACAAACACCTGCTCAAACAGCTAATTACGTGAAGTCATGTCATATCTGTCGAGGACTGAAGGGCCGTAAGGTGCCATCACCCGTGCCTGCTTGATGCAACTCCATATGTTCACGACCCGTCTTGGATCCAATCCTCCCTGCACCAGCGTGTCACTGCACCCTCCTTTTTCCGTTTCTCACCTTCCACAAACCCGACCTCCATCCCTGGAGCTTGTCCATCTTAGGGTCTCAGGGTGCAGGGCTCACCTTCGTTGACCGGAGCCAGCGACTGTGGAGGGCAAGCTCAAGTACGGCTGCCAGCATGTGCGGAGGGAGCGGGGACCCTGGCAGCCTCTTCGGTGTTGGGGCCTATGCTCTCCACAGCTGCAGCGGAACAGGTGGAGGCCCTGAGCCCATGCAACTGAGCCCGGAAGAACCATGGGAGCCCTTGAAACGGTCTTACCAAAACCACGAGAGAAGAACAGCACCCTTCGCGAACAGTAGCGAATAGCGATAGCATTGACTATGAATGATGTTGTACCCCTGGGCAAACAAACAACAATGCTCCTTGCCCACCAACGGTCATAGATTGGGATAATTTTGGGGAAGTCACGTGCAACTTGACAATCCATGCGGACCGTTCATGGGTGGGAGAAGAGCCATCAGATCGATTGCACGCACGATCCTCTCTGCTGAGACTAAGACGTATTCCCCAAAACATCAAAGCATTGAAAGCCCAGTTTTGCCGTGGCATCAGCTGCATAAAGCTGCATAGGTCCCAATTGTCCAGCATCCCAGGACTTAACAGCAGGCCTTCTTTTCACGCCTCTAAGCTTTGGCCTAAGAATGCACGTCCCTACCTTCCGCAGGCGTATCTCCCAACTTCCTAGCCGGGCCACGGCTCGGGTAATGAACGTGGACCTAACTTCATGAGCAACCTTGACTAGACTTGAAAGTAAGATTTGCACGAGATGACTTCAGATGTTGGAATATAGTATATACGACAGTCCCGATAAAGCCCTACCTGACCCACTATCTCGGCATTTCACAACATTGCGTGAATAGCAGGATCCTTTGCACAAGGACACCGAAGTGGCCCGAGTAGCTTATGACTTATGACTTTATGAAATCGCGATTTCAGCTTGCGCTGCATCTCAAAATGCCAATGCCAGAAAAGAGGCGTGCAGCCGACAACGTACCCCAAGGGATCCCAGTGCAGCTGCGCGCATCCAGGCCTTAATGCACCCCAAACTGCAAGGTTTGCGCATTATCAAGGCCAGCTTATTAGCAGCTTCCGCATCATTAGGCCGGGACAACATTGACGTAGTCTTCTGGGCGTTTGAATAGGCCGGGACAACATTGACGTAGTCTTCTGGGCGTTTGAAGCCGCTCAAACTACACAGTGCGATGTCAAAGAGGTTGGATGAACGGTCCGCTTCTGGCGAAAAACCAACATTTCTTGAGGCCTGTCCCTCGTCCATCACTTATCCTGAGGTCCTAGCACGGTGCACTTGGCCTTGTCAAAGGCAACGAAGTGATCAAAGTTCTTGTTCTGACCCCACATCTCCTGTGAAGGTCTGGTTTGCCGCAGGCCCAAAGCGGAGCATGTCAATTGTTTTATGGGATCTTGACTAGGCAGTTCCGAGATTCCGGGACATCTCGGAGACTCGGAGAGACACAGCAACTTTCCAGGAAACGTTGGTAGCTGGGGTGGGGGAATACGGAGCCCGATTCGCATTGCTGCTATGACTGGCACGGCATGCCACCCTGCCCACCAAAGACTACTACATGCGGTAGATTCGAGCCCTGCCGTTTTGGTCAATATGACTACCCGATCCAAACTTATACCGCAAGTCTGTGGTTGCTGCTCGAACTTTAACTATAATGAATAGCATTATCACAACTTTTACTGACAGCCCAGGTACGGTTTCAAGGAGACACTGCTAGCTGTAACGGCTATGAAGGACGATGCGTAGTAGCCAGGCATAACTTGAGTGCTTTTCTAGTTAGCTGTCCTTAATTGGCTGCCTTTCACAATTTTCACGGCTGTATGTTGTTGATTTGCCTTCGAAGCACCGTGCACATTCTGATTTGGACCCTCCGTTACCTTGCAGTTGGCAGTTTTCAGCCAAAAAGATGGAAGATGCAAATAGAACGATGTATTCAGTTTTCCTGCGCAGTCTTGGGGTGCGCGAGTGCCCATGTTCCAACTTTACTGCTTCCGGCGCATACACTCCCGACCTCACGAAGCTTTTATGGGCTGGGCAGTAGTGCGACCAATCGTAATATCTCTCAGGAAGCAAGCTGCTGGCATGTGGCAGGGTGGAAGTTCTCGCAGCCTTTCTGGTAGAATCCGGAGCCCAGCACATGGGGAGCTAGGACCAAGGACTGCAACTGCACAAGGAGCCCGTGAAAGCGAGTGACGCTTGTTGGAACCTGGTTTGGAAGCATGTTTGCAGCCTAGGTGTTCAGTAGTCGTCCAAACAAAGGAAGGTCTTGTGTTATGTGTCTTCTTGCGGACATCTGCGCCACAACTGAAATGCAAAGGGCCTGCGCAGTGTACATTTCAAATCATTGGAATGTGTGCTGAGAAATTTGGCTGACGGCTTACAGCCAACTCAGAAATGCGCCTGTGGCGGAATTACATAAATAGGTGCTGATTGGCTCAGGGAGGGCACTAACATCGTAAAACATGAAAATGACCTCACCTAGCCCAACTACCATTGAAGGGACACCCTGTGGAAATCTTGACCCTACGCCAATCCCTCGTGGCGCGGTAGGTGACTTTGAAGCGAGTCAATCGCGAGATGTTGAACTTCCTGCACCAAGGAAGAGTCTGTCGTGATTTGGTTTTGTTGATGGCAGCTTTCTTGCCAAGGAGGCTTTAGAAGCGCTTAATAAAGGGACTTGCATGAGATAGATTTGTCTAACACTGCCGATGGTTTGGATGCCTGGCAAGGTGTTTTGGGGCTGAGCATGCGTCTTCTATGTTTCAAGCTAAAATTACTCTTCTGCAGGCTTTTGCCAGAAATCCACCTGAGAGAGCAGAACCAAAAGCTTATTAACCACCCAGAACCGAACAACTGGCAAGCCAAGCAGGGGCATCAGCTACACGCAAAGCCTTGGGGTAGGAACAAGGCATCCGTTCCTGTGCATCTAGCAGCCCGGAGATGGACTCGTTGTGATTTCTATGAAAATGGCCCTTACCTTTAGCATCCAGATTTAAGTTTGCCCGTCCCTTTACATGCATCCAGCGGTTCATCACTCCAGGACGGTCCGGTCCTAGGGCAGTTGAAGACAACTTCGTTGTGAAGATACCTGCGAGTGGAGAGTGATAGTCAGCCCATGACTGATAGGGTCTAAGGAAGCGGGCTCATTCAGCCATGCACCCGACTTCGGAGACTCCTGCCCATGAAGCCCCCTGAAGCTCACCAAACAGAAAACAACCAGGATGAAGGGCCAGGCTAGTGCGGTGAACAGGGTGTGCTGCAAGATGCTTCTGTGGGTTTCAGAAAGCTAACTGCATGGGTCTGTGAGAACTGGTCTAGTAGATGAATGGATGAACGGGCGGCAGCTGGAAGATAGCTGGAACATGTAGATACCCTTCCTTAAACCAGCAGCATTTAGCGAAGATTCCTGATATGCATTCGACTTCAACACACGCAGGAGGCAGGAATAGTAGTACGTGCTTTCCGTGTTTCCGGGGAAACGCGCGCGGCGTGTCTGCTACTTCCAACGAGGCTTTGTGGGGAACCTTGAAGGTTTCGAATTCATGGTGATATGGATCTTGTTGTGCTTATCTAGTTTCTTGGGAATCTTCCTCTACACGTTCCCCCAACCAAACGTGGAACCTGCGAGGAGGCCGTGTATAGGCTTCTGTTCCTAGGGGCCTACATGGGGTTGCATGCCAGTTCACGCTGCGGCTAAAATCCCTACGATCCGTAGAACCCACCAAAACAATGTATGGCCGGCAAGTGCAAGGTGCCAAATGTCACCCAGGAGGTTGGCCATGTTAACGCCATTGAGCTTGTACCTTCACGAGTTGGTCACAACTCCCAGAGGCACATGGCTTGGAGAACAGCAATTCTGTGAAGACAACCGCAATCTGATACATTCCTCACAGAAATCCGCAGCCCCAAGCCCCAACCTCAAGAGGAGATCCTCTTTGGGCATGCGCCACGTCCTATAGATGCTTGTAAAGCACTACAGTCCGTCGACTTACATTTCAAGTAGATGCGAAGGCATGAGAATTGCTGTTGGGCTGGTAGGGTCTTGTGAAGACAAGACGTGCAGTAGAGAGCTTCCCGAAGCAGGATAAAGTAAGGGGATTGTAGGGATTGCAAGAAGCCTTGTAGAACTATGTAGTCCTTGTAAGTGACAGAATGTGGAGGTGGGCGACTGGGAACGTGATCTCCTTTGCTTCCAACTCCGAATTCCATCTACTGAAGAGATGCCTCAGTTTTGCTTTGCAACTACGTACCCAGCAGCAGCCCACATGATCCGCACCTCTGATCGTTGTCTACGCGGTAGAGGTAGAAGGTCATCGGCTTGCCTGATACCCAAAAAGGGAAATCGGCTTGCATACGTCCTCCTACATGCAGAAACCCATATCTTGAATAGGAAAGGTCGGGAGCCCCGATGAGCTTCAACCGTGCGAATACTGGAGTCCCTACGACTGCCGTTATGAGCCACCGCCCCAAAAATTTACACAATCCGTATGAAGATCCTCTGGAATGAAACCTCATAACACTGAACCTGAGCAATTCCTGCTGAAGATCTGTTAATTTCTTTAAAAATGTTGTCCCCGAACAAGCCCGTCATCACCCCCCCGCCATCACCACCACCACCAAGCCTTTGCGGGCAACCGATCCCAAACCTATCTTGATTTTTCCAAACCTGAGATCGAATAATGCCGTGTAAAATCCTGCAGACAGAACCCACAGTTGAGCCTTTCCAATAATTCGGATCGCCCACCTCGTGATTTTCATAATTGTTGGGAAGCCTAAATCATGCATATAGGATCTTGCAACCTGTATAGCCCCTCTTAGCAGGTTGTTGGACACGCCCAGATTGGTCCGCAGCCCCCGTAAGGGCACCATTTCAGGGCGTGCCTGGGGTTGGAGCAGGTGGCAGCAACTCAGGCCCAGGTCCCATGGCACCAAGCATATCCTGCTTCTCCTTGGCAGGAAAATAATGAGGGGCGTTTACGGCTTACGCAATCCGTGCCTGGGAGGATAGAAGATTCTTGTCGTGCGGTCTCAGAATTATGGGATATTGCGGGTCTAGTCGTTTGAGAATCTACCGTTCAAAGTAGCATGCAGGTCAAAAATGTCTTAAATGTCTTTAGTCAATGGTTTGCCAGCACATCGCCGAAAAGGTCTTGAGCAGCTTTGAAAGGGAGCGTGGTAACCACTGTGCCCTAAAGAACACCTGCTCCAGTCTGACCTGTGTTGGAGCACCTTTTCCCAGGGTTCGACAAAGACAGGATTTCCAACCCCTGACAATCACTGTCAGACTTGAAGGCGGGAAGCTGGAGGAAAAGAATCACAGCATGCCTTCGAAGTGACGACGACACTTTTGATCGCGGTGTATGAAAAAATTGTGACATTGACCAGCGATTTTTCAAGGGCAGTTGTCATTGCACACCCCTCTGCAACGAAGTGGCAACTTTTAAAACCTGAACCGGTGATCGTCTGTTTGGATCTTTCAGGAAAATGCTAGGTATCCAGTCAGCTGGCCCAGTGTCACTTGGCAACGCCCTGCAGCAGTCATTCTCTGCAACTGCACCACTAAGTAGTACAGAAAGAAGCTTCCCATAGCTTCGCTAGATTATTTCGCGAACATGACGACACTGCAACAGATTCCAACGAGGCCGAATTAAACCAGGTGAGCACCTGTATGAGGTGATGACACTAAGCCGAGAGGCAATTTCCGAGTCGCAGCAGCCTCTCAGGTTCACAGTTCGTACATGAAGCAGTTAAACCGTATTCATCCGTATTCTAGCTCTGAGTTGCGGGATTAAGGCTTGAAAGCTGAGAGGGGCGTCTCCCTTCATGCCCTGCAGGGATGGTTCAGAGGGCAAACGATGTGGAAGCTTGCCTATGCCTCCCCCCAAAGTGGGGAAGCTAGTAACTAGCAACTTGTGTTGGGACAGGACGGAGCACAAGGTATTGCAGAACTACACGGAAACATCTGCGCACGCGAGCGTTTGTGCGAGGAGCGGTCTGCGAGGAGCTGTGGTCCTCTATCGCGGAGCAGGAGCTTAAAGTACGCATTCAGCAACAAGACTCTAAAAGTGTATGCCATGCTGAGGAACTATATCCACTTCGCGGCAGCCTTGGCAGAGCGAACCTATGCTGGGCTGCTTCTGGGGGATCTCACTTGGGTTCAGGCTCCGGGGCAATTTGTATCGTCCACATATTGAGCGGCTCCCAAACTCCGGGGCATTGAGCTGAAACCCTGTCTTGAGTGAAAGAAGCTCTGGTGGAATACACCTAAACGCCAAACTCTGAACCGCTGCCTAGGCTGGCGCCCGCAGGGTTTGGGCAGCAGAGACCCATGAGGCCATTCTCCTTTTGGCAAAGGCAGACTTATTGGTACTTAAGTGGGACAAAAATACCACTGACTTACTTCCGCAGAATGATAATACGGGGGATGTTGTAGGAATAGTTGTAGGGAATGATTACCCCCTGTGTTCAAAATCTATGCGCTACTTCAGGCGATACGTTGCATGGATAAGGTCTTCAGAGCCGCAGAAATATGACCTCTCGACTGCCTACATGACAGCCAGCTCCTTGCAAAGGCCGTTGTTCTCGCACAACCTTATGCCGGCCGCAAGCTTGCGGACGAAAGTCATCACAGTGGCCGCAGTAAAGCTGATAGCAGTAGCACTGATGATTGCATACGGCCATACGCCGAACACGAAGCGCAATAAGAATAACAAAGATAAGGCCCCGAACCCGTCCTTAGTCACGCAGTCTTGGCATGCCATCCGACAAGTAGGTTTCGCGGCTGCAGTCATGCCAGGACGCCAGAACAACCGGACAATGATGGTGATAGCAAACTGAAGAATTACCATAGTGTTTAAAGATTTTAAGAATACACTTTCTTGAATTCAAGCTGCCGCTTGGAATCCTTTGGCACGCCAGCGACGGGCGGTGGGGGCAGGGCGCTGCCACCTGATTGCAAATGGATTTTGCAGGGTTTAGGGCCTGTTGGCTTAGTAGGCCTTGACGTGCGGGGATTGAAGGGCTCAGTGGCTCAGGGTTAAGGATTCGGGGATTGCAAAGGGATTGCCTCAGAAATATGTGGGGGGGGGCGGGGGGTGATGTCAGGTTTTTAATACGAGTTATACAAAGTTTTTCATAGCACCCGGCATCGATAATGGAGATGCGACTGCTATTGACACAAGGAGCGCAGCCGAGGTACGAACCAAAGGTACATAAATCATCATAAATCTAAGTATTTAAGCCCCAGCTGTGGGAATTGCAGAGCTGTGGGATATCAACAGACTGCAACAGACTGCTTGTGTAAACCTGAATGCGCGGGATAAAGATCTCTCAGATTCAAGAACACGCTGTGATAGCGTGAGAACATATCACACGTACACTGCGCCCCTTAAATCCATAAGCTTAACTTATGTTTCTCGACCCCCTAAAAAGACAGGAGGTGTCGGAATCAAAATCAAATCCTAGACCCAACAAAAAAGAAGAACCAACACGATCGAAATAAAATTTAACAAATCGAAATCGGCCAAAAGTCAATCGGCCAAACATAGAAAATCGAAAAGATCGAAATCTGCCCAAATAGCCCAAACATCGAGAAACATCAAACACACGAAGCAAACTCGACATCCGCAAGAAACGGCCAAAAACTGTGGAAAAAACGACTAGTTCAATCGAACAAAAATCGACCAAAAGTCATCCAAATCGAAAGTCTGATCGAACTTAGTTCCATTTCTCCCGATTTAACTTCCATGTTTGGCGATGTTAAGACGGCTCTGTCTTATTAAGGATCGAGAAACATAACCCTAGACTCCCATGTCATGTCTCTTCTAGAATGTACCTCCGGGGCAGCATCCCAGGCTAACGCCCGCATCGTTGGGGCAGCAGTTCCTTGCAGCTGTTCTGCTGGGAAATCAATGGACGGGCATATCTTCGCTTATATGGCTGACAAGCTTACAACTTGCAGTACTGCTTGGAGCATATTGTGACACAAGTACTGCGAGTGGGGGACCTGTGCACGACCGACCGTACAGACTGGGCTCTGCTTGACTGAGCGGACTTACTGCAGGAACGTTTCTGTTATAGTTGGAAGGGCTCAGCTGCGTGGACAAGAAACATGAGTGAAAAGCCAGCCTCACCAGGACATGCCTTGCATCACCATCATACACATTACATCTTGACAAGTGCTTTGGGATTGCAAAGATCAAGATAAAACGGCAGGTGGGGGCCCTGATATCAATGGGACCCGCGCTCCAAGGTGTAGCAGCTCCAAAAAGAAGAAGAAAAAGACTTTTCAGAAGAGCCAATGGCATTTTGGCCGTTCTGTCAGGCGTAGAATGTGTCCGTAGCCTAAAATGGGGTCTTGAAGAGTTCACAGTTATGCCTTCCCACCCGTGGCCTTCAACAGCTTGGTGACCAAAATTCTTTTTGCGCAAGCGGTCTGATGATGTCGTTTGAAAAACTATTTGTAGCAGAAAACATTAGCTTTGGCAACAAAACCTCAACACAAGCCTATAAGCCCTGGACCCTTAATGTAACCCACCCTGACCTTGCAAATCCTGTAAGCCCCGACTTACAAAACCCTGTCGACCTGTAAATCCTTGCTGTAGCCCAATGGACCCTAAACACCTATCACCAGGTTCTAGCCCTGGTGCCCCTGCAGCTTGAGCTTGGCACACTCCTTGGCAGCTTCGCTTCTACTGACATCAAAAACTTATGCAAATTCTCAGGGTTACTCTTATCGTGACTGCTGATGCTCCAACTTCTGCTCCTAAGCTAGCACTACCACTGCTGCGGGCATTAACTGGGCCGGCGTAATTACCAAAACAGTTTGTACCAAAAAAATGTCACGACGAATGCATACATCACATTGTAAAAGCTCATGGGAACTGCTCATAGTTTAGATGTTAGGTTACTGTACTACTGACACTTGAACTCTTACTCCCATCGCAACTAGCGAAATTGGAGGTATACCTGGTTCTTCCCCTTCCAGAAAGTCCTTAACCTCCGTCCTAAACATGATTTGTCTCATTGCTCTTGTCAACCTCTTCACTACTTCCTGGACAGTTTGAGGAAAGGCTCAGGTGAAAGTCTCTTAAACGCAAGCGAGAGGAATCTTAGAAACTTAGAATTGTTGGGTTTTCCAGTTCAGGTTTGGATGATCGGGTGTCTGGGAGCAGTTTAGACTGATGTGAAGCTTTCTTGGTAACGTGAAGTACAGGTAACTACTGCATTACTACCCCATTCCACCCCGAAAGAGATAAAGCCTACGATTGGGCCTACAACTAGAAGAATTACTGGGTGGGCCCATGCGGGCCCTG